TCCTCTGGAACACCCACTGTACCTGTGTGCCACATTTCACACAGATTTACTGTAGAAATGTTCAGATATTAAAGAAAACTTGTATTCAGTCCACACTCGTGACAGTCAGGTTGCATATTCAAAAATTCATAAAAAAATCATCCTTCATAGCTGATGTACAAGTTTCACCACATCCTTCCTCTGGAACACCCACTGTACCTGTGAGCCACATTTCAGACAGATTTACTGTAGAAATCTTCAGATTTTAAAGAAAACTTGTATTCAGTCCACACTCGTGACAGTCTGGTTAATATTCAAAAATTCATAAAAAATCATCCTTCATAGCTGATGTACAACTTTCACCACATCCTTACTCTGGAACACCCACTCTACCTGTGTGCCACATTTCAGACAGATTTACTGTAGAAATCTTCAGATATTACAGAAAACTTGTATTCAGTCCACACTCGTGACAGTCTGGTTAATATTCAAAAATTCATAAAAAATCATCCGTCATAGCTGATGTACAACTTTCACCACATCCTTACTCTGGAACACCCACTGTACCTGTGTGCCACATTTCAGACAGATTTACTGTAGAAATCTTCAGATTTTAAAGAAAACTTGTATTCAGTCCACACTCGTGACAGTCTGGTTAATATTCAAAAATTCATAAAAAATCATCCGTCATAGCTGATGTACAACTTTCACCACATCCTTACTCTGGAACACCCACTGTACCTGTGTGTCACATTTCACACAGATTTACTGTAGAAATCTTCAGATTTTAAAGAAAACTTGTATTCAGTCCACACTCGTGACAGTCTGGTTAATATTCAAAAATTCATAAAAAATCATCCTTCATAGCTGATGTACAACTTTCACCACATCCTTACTCTGGAACACCCACTGTAACTGTGTGCCACATTTCAGACAGATTTACTGTAGAAATCTTCAGATATTACAGAAAACTTGTATTCAGTCCACACTAGTGACAGTCTGGTTAATATTCAAAAATTCATAAAAAATCATCCGTCATAGCTGATGTACAACTTTCACCACATCCTTACTCTGGAACACCCACTGTACCTGTGTGCCACATTTCAGACAGATTTACTGTAGAAATCTTCAGATATTACAGAAAACTTGTATTCAGTCCACACTAGTGACAGTCTGGTTAATATTCAAAAATTCATAAAACATCATCTGTCATAGCTGATGTACAACTTTCACCACATCCTTACTCTGGAACACCCACTGTACCTGTGTGTCACATTTCACACAGATTTACTGTAGAAATCTTCAGATTTTAAAGAAAACTTGTATTCAGTCCACACTCGTGACAGTCTGGTTAATATTCAAAAATTCATAAAAAATCATCCGTCATAGCTGATGTACAACTTTCACCACATCCTTACTCTGGAACACCCACTGTACCTGTGTGCCACATTTCAAACAGATTTACTGTAGAAATCTTCAGATATTACAGAAAACTTGTATTCAGTCCACACTAGTGACAGTCTGGTTAATATTCAAAAATTCATAAAAAATCATCCGTCATAGCTGATGTACAACTTTCACCACATCCTTACTCTGGAACACCCACTGTACCTGTGTGCCACATTTCAGACAGATTTACTGTAGAAATCTTCAGATTTTAAAGAAAACTTGTATTCAGTCCACACTTGTGACAGTCAGGTTGCATATTCAAAAATTCATAAAAAAATCATCCTTCATAGCTGATGTACAACTTTCACCACATCCTTCCTCTGGAACACCCACTGTACCTGTGAGCCACATTTCAGACAGATTTACTGTAGAAATCTTCAGATATTAAAGCAAACTTATATTCAGTTCAATACAGTCAATAGAATTATGTCATTTTTCAAAAATTCATAAAAAATCATCCTTCATAGCTGATGTACAACTTTCACCACATCCTTCCTCTGGAACACCCACTGTACCTGTGTGCCACATTTCAGACAGATTTACTGTAGAAATCTTCAGATTTTAAAGAAAACTTGTATTCAGTCCACACTCGTGACAGTCTGGTTAATATTCAAAAATTCATAAAAAATCATCCGTCATAGCTGATGTACAACTTTCACCACATCCTTACTCTGGAACACCCACTCTACCTGTGTGCCACATTTCAGACAGATTTACTGTAGAAATCTTCAGATTTTAAAGAAAACTTGTATTCAGTCCACACTCGTGACAGTCAGGTTAAATATTCAAAAATTCATTAAAAAGAAAGACTGCAATACAAAGTCAAAATGATCTAGCTTTATTTACATTTCTGAGATACATAACCTTTATATGTACACATACAAAATTTCTAAATAATATTTACACCTGTTCCTCTGTTTCTATCAGTGCAATAAGAAATTACATGACATTAGTCAACCTTATATTGTCACGTTGAAAGCTTGGTTTGTAGGACCCATAATGCAGCACCCAAGATGACACGATGCAGGGATGAGAATCAGTGAAATACTTTATTTAAAGGTGAGTCAAAAACAAAAGTAACTCTACGGCGGAGAGTCAAAATCCAAAATGTTCAAAATCTAATACTTGAGATACAAAAACAGAGATACAAGAAGAACAAGCAAACTAGAGACGAGGTACAGAATTACCACAAAGGACAGACAAGACACTGAGACAAGACAGGGCTTAAATACACAGGGAGGATGAGAGGGACATGAGCTGCAGGTGTGTGGGATGTGGGAGGAGGACCAGGTCAAGGCAATGACTAATCAGGGGAGAAGCATGAGGGGAGATGCAGACACAGACCATGACATATATACATTTTACAAATGAAATAAGACTATTTATTTTTCACAGAGTGCACACTCCCATTCTGCAGCCTCTGCCTTCTGATACAGCTCTGTGTTCATCTGCAAGCACTGTTTGTGAAACCACCTTGCACAGCTGTCACACTGGATCTGTGAATGTTCAACAAACCAAAAATCAAAAAATTTATTTTCTCACATGATTTAACATGAATATCTTTATTAATCTGCCACTACTATGTATTTCCTTTTTTCTTTACATATCAGTTATTCCAAATAACTAACACACCAAGGCAAAAAAAATTAATGCAAGTTTAGGCTAAATAACCCCTCTTCCTCAATACAAAAACCAAATTACAAAAGCAACTGTACACAATACAAGTTGTAAAATAATATCCTCAATTACAAATCTGTCTTACCCATTTGGTGATAGAAGGCCCTGGAAAAGGTGGTTTTGGGGTTGAACACATGGCGCAGTTGTTTTCTGCCTCGAACACTATTACAAATACAGTAAAATTTGTGAATCACAATGAATGTATTTAACTACAAGTAATCTCTTTGTGCTATAACACTTCACAAACCTGAGGCTCCCAGTATTTGTGAAGCAATTGCTTCACGCTGTTGCACCATTGCTTTCGGTGTTGTTTTAAATGTCATGCCTGGTTTTTTTGGAAAGGACTCCATGAACGCCTTAGCCATCTATGGAAATAGCAAAATACTCACAAAATAAGTTAGTCATATTGGTTTTCTATAGCAGAATCAATTTTCTAATGCAACATCAACACAAAAATGTTTTGAAACTCATGTCTGTTACTTTACCAAGATGACAATCACACCGCAGCTATTTGTGTCCTTCTGAACTGGGTGTTTCACAACTTCTCCTTGTAACTTTATATCCACCCAGTCAGTCTTGCCGATAGCAGTACGCCTCATTTTGAAGAACTCCCTGTGCAAGGGTTATACTGTCATGTCAGGGCCACGTGCAGGCAGGCAAAGTACCCAAAATGCAGTCGCGGAAACAAATGTTGAACTTAACTACAGCAATAATGCCGGACGGCAAACAGACAACTGTTCGGAACTCGAACACAAAATGAACCAGCTCGGCCCGGTGGCTGGCAGGGACAACACGCAGCATAGGAGACAGTAGATCGTGAGACGTGTAGATGAAAACACAGGGCTGAAAAACACAGAGGGAGCGAGCAGGGAATGGGAAACAGGATTGGAACTACAACTGTGGCAACTCAGGCCTAACGACACAAAGGAAGCAAAAACAGACACTTTAACATGAGACATAGACTTTCTAATTAAAACATGGAAAAAAACACAGACGCAGACTTGACACGTCGATACAGCCGAAAGGGTAGACAGCAACTATGGAACACAGAAAAGAAACAAAAAGGTACAACTATGACAAAGAAACCAAAAGATCACATACGGTAAACAAAAGCAACAATCAAAGTACAACAGTAATGAGCAATTAACACTATGGCTCAACGACCCAGGGACCCTAACAAATACAAGTCATTACCGTATTTTGAATAGCACTGTCTTTGAGTACTGTATTAAATTGTCTATAGTACTCACAATTCATTATTCCTCTAATTTTCCTCAGTACCAAAGCCAATAGGGTTGCACCACCCAAAAACACACAGAATAAAGAAACTATAACTCTACAGAAAAAACAGGGACTGTCATATATTAAAACAGAAAAAAATTTACCAAGACATTACAAAAAAACTTGCAGGAACAGAAATGTTAACGCAAGTTCTTAATGCCAATGATTGACCCATCTACCATAGGGACACATAAAGTTTACGTAACACTGAGATTTAACACAACATTAAGCAAAAAATAATCAAGTAATCAAAAACTTGTGCTTTTTCGTTGCTAAAATGTAATTAATGAGGCACATCGGCAGAACCGTCCCAACCCACTCATACGGACTGGATTACACATTTTGAAAACTGCAGCACTATAAAAGAACATGATCATTTAATCAATTAAATTTTTGAAAATGAGAATCTACCTGAATTTTTGTGCTGCCACTTTGGATTCTTCAAGCTCTCTTGTGTTGTGTGCTGGATCAACAAGGTAAAGACAGTTGTCTGCTTGACTTAGGTACTATAACAGAAAAGATAATATAATTAATTCTGTAGCCAGTAATTGCAGATATGTATCTGATTTTTATCATACTTGAGAGATTTGACTATAACTTGTTTGATCAGTTATTAAAGCTGATTGCTGTAATTAGTCCATGAAAAGCTGTTATACATATTATTACATCAATACCTATTGTAATCTTTCAAGTTAATTTACTTTAATTTCTATTTGCTATCGTCCTCTTTGTCCACACACCATTTACTACAGTCGAATACATTAAATGTCAGGTTTTAAGGTAAACTGATGGGAAACATTTAGTAGTCCAGTATACAGGTATTTGACATTTAGGACTTGATAGTGGGACATCACACACACACATAAATCAGGGCTAGTTGTCTCAGAAAGTAAAAAAAGTTTCCAGGGTGACATTTTATGGCACTTACAAAACCTAATTTTAAAAACAGAAATCTTATTATTCCATAATATTGAACTTAGTTCAGAATATGAATTTTCTGAAAGGCAATTTATGTTACTACTAACCAGGCACTTCCAGTGAACATTTCCAACGTTCACAAACGAAACAATTGCCTCGTAGTTATCAAAGTTGACCTGTTAACAAAAAATTAGAACAATGTAAAATAAAAACATATTTACATTGCAATATGTATATGAATTTGTATATTTCACCTTTGACAAACAGTGCCTCCTCATCATTTCTCTTTTCCCAAACAGGATGACACCAGCAGTGTAGTGGTTCAGAATGTATATCTTACTGCCCAAATCCAGCTTGCAGGCCATAACATGCAGAGCACACTCTATAATCTGGTAAAAATGAAATTGAATAAAGAAGAGATGTCAAGTTAAACTGCTATTTATCTCCAGGCAAAAGCTTTATATCAAACAAAGACCACACTGTGGGTGACTCCTGTCAGTGACGAACAAGGAAATTTTAGTGACATTTTGTGCTCATAAATGTTAAACATATTAATAAAAACAGATTTAAAACAAAAATATAGGTCAATAACTTCCACAGTTACAAGATCACCGAACATTTTTACATCCTTTTGTCATGTCCACATGGTAAATTGGGCTAACAAAATGTGACACAAGACTAAAATTTTGTCTTTGACAATTTCACTTTATTTCCTCTTTGATATATATTTTAAATTTTTTAACGTATATTTATTTGTTTGTTTAATTAAAGGAATGCTGTTTATTTCAAATTACAGTTAGTGATTTGGAGTTGTATAAAACATTTTAAGTATAAAACATTTGAAGATTCAAGTGCATTAGCACTGTAACAAATCCATTTAAGATTAAAGCACGTATAAACAATAGCTTTGTCTATAAAAACATTGCGTCTGTCTAACGTGGATGGAAAAATTTGTTGTTGATATGGGAACAGCATTAAGATCAGTGATGTTTTGGCTCTATGAATAGCAATAAATAAAAAAAACAACAACAGGAAATTAAATGGTGGATATGAAAGGATTAGTGTAAAACAGTATTTAAAATACAGCTTCATTTGTTTTGTAGTCTGTCTCTTAGGGATCCTGGGCTCCCACGCCTTGTGTGGCCCTGTGTGGCCCTGTGTTTTCCCTCCAGGCTTTTCAGGACCTTGGACAAGTCCTCCATCAGGCTGGCTTCCGCCTAGGCCCGCCCACTCTGCAACAGCTGCAGACAATCCCCATGATGATGAAGCGCTAGCTAAAAGGACTCCTGTTACAGTTATTCAGTGGGAGAATGACGTGGTTTGTTTGAGTTTTTCCAGTGTAGGACTGTGTATATTGGTTGCCCTCCCTGTTTAAATATATGTCTTTTCTTTAGACTCACCACTCCTTCTCCGCATCAGTTCTTATGTTACCCCTTTCCACAACACTTAAAACACAGGGTTTGTAAAACTGTCTTTTCCATGTACCTCGCCTGTTAACCATTGATGAGGTTCCAGGGATTGCAGCTCGCTGTGGTGAACTATAAAGTTGTTCCCTTTTATTTGTGATGGAATCACAGCAACGACAACTTCGGTTTCCTCTCTTTTCCACAGTGCTGTGACCTATGGGTAAAATTAAGAGTGTGTTTGTATTTGTGGCACAACAGTAAGAAACTATTAACACATTGTCAAAGAAGTACACAAATCAGTAAGGTTGTTTTTTCAAAGATGTTCAACATAATACTATAAATGCTTTCATTTTGTTTGGTGATATGGAAACACATATAAATGAACCCCAAAAGCTGATTTTCTTCATCTGCACGTAGCGTTTGCAGAGGGACAAACATTTCTTCAGTCATCCAAGAAATGTATTCACTCTCACCTCTCTCCAAGTTTCACGCATCTTACAAAATGTAAATTTGTATACTGAGTCATGGGCATTTAGTAGTGATCTGTGATCAGTCGTTGTTGATCAATGGTCACACCAATTTGCACAATTATGATGAAGCAACTCACATCACAACCCATCATTACTTCAGTTTGCTTGTTTCAGTCATTATGAAAATGTATTCTTTCTAACTTTGGTGAAAACTGCAGTCAGCTTAGAGTGAAGAAGTTACTTGGATAAGTGAGGAAACATGTCTCCCACTGAAAAAGCAGCGTCCAGGTGAATAGATTGAACCTTTTGAGATTGACATAAAAAGGATGATTGACAATTCATTCAGACATATAAATGACTATGTGTTACACCAACATAGGTACCTAATACATTTATCGGACAAGTTAAGGTTTTTTAAAAAAGTTTTTATGTGCACAAGATTGTTATCTTCAAATTTAATTTGTGAATACTAATAACTCTATTTCACATCAGGGTAGGCTACCGCAATCAATAATTAATTAGTTTGGAAAAGCTATTAAAAGGATAAATAGTTAAAAGGGAACATAAACCCTTTTCAGCATAACAGAATACCTAAGCCTTCGTTTTGCAAAAAAACTTCTAACATACAAATTCACGTTCTTCTCATGCAACCACCCGCATGTTTCCGAAGTGTGTCTGAATGACATAGCAGCGACTCCTGATGTTATGTCTGTTTGTTGACATTTCATCGAAGTTACAGACAGTACAATAGACATTGATTCACCTGTAATTTATCCAATGTTTTGCCCTTTTCCGCCTCCTGGACTTTTCTGGAGTTGTTTGGCAAATCCCATCCTTGGATGTCTTCTGTGCTCTAATATAAATTAAAACACATGACCATTTCAATATTGTTTAATATGTGTAAACATGGCCTATCATTCCATCTCTATGCTGACGATTGCCAGATTTACTCTCCATTGTGTCAGGATAAAGGTCACTCTATCCAGTCCTTAGTGTCCTGTGTTAATGAGGTGAAGTCTTGCCTAATGGCCAACTACCTAGATCTGAATGAGGGAAAAACAGAGCTCATTGTTTTTCACCCCAACAGCAGGAATGTGGATCGTTATGTAGATCTTGGCCCTCTTTCTACATACTCAAAACCAGTTGTTACCAGTTTTGGGGTGAAACTTGATGCAGGACTTAAATTTGATGCTCACATCAATTCTGTGATCCGGTCCAGTGTCTTTCACCTGAAATGCCTTGCAAAAATCAGGCCCATGCTGTCGAGAGCCCACCTGGAGCGGGTACTGCATGCCTTTGTAATTTCTAGGCTTGACTACTGCAACTCTCTCTACGCAGGGTTGTGTCAGTCATCACTGCGTCGCCTACAGGTTGTGCAGAACAGCGCCGCCAGGTTCCTGACTGGGGCCAGGAAACGGGACCACATCAGTCCGGTTCTGGCTTCCCTGCACTGGCTTCCGATTTGCTATCGCTCACAATTCAAAATCCTCGTCTTTGTTTACAGTTTCTTCCAGGGTGGTGGTCCCCCCTATCTAGCCACACTCCTGAACAGACATTCCCCATCACGCGCTCCTCTGACCAAGGCCTGCTCGCTGTCCCTCGTTCTAGGTGTCGTGCCCGTGGGGACCGGGCTTTCTCAGTCCTAGCACCGTTACTCTGGAACCAGTTGCCACCCTCAGTTAGGCTGTCCCCTTCTCTGCCAGTCTTTAAGAATCACCTAAAAACACACTTCCTCCGCTTGGCGTTTCCAGAACATGTTTGATTTTGGCCCTCTTTTATGTAGAATTGATTTCACAGTTTTCATTGGTTCACTCAATCCATCCACTCAATCCGAATGTGTTTCTCACTTTTGTCCTGTACCAGAATCTTTCTTCTATCTTGTAATTTCTATTTTGTAATTTGTATCTTGTAATTTCTATTTTGGAATTTGGATTTAGTAATTTCTATTTTGTTATTTGAATTCCTTTTATAGTTGATTTATTCAATATATTTATCTACAACAGTACCATGTTCAGCGCTTTGGGCTTCCTGACAGGGTTGCGGAAGGTGCTTTATAAGTAAAGCTTTGATTGATTGGTTGATTGATTGATGTATGTGTGTGTGTGTGTGTGTGTGTGTGTGTATACTGTATATATTTATGTATGTATATCTCACAATAAATAAAAATCTAACCTGTGTAGTGACAGCTTCAGTCTGCTCTGTGGGCACATCTGAGTCTGGTGGTTCTTGTAGATAATCCTTAGAGAAATAATGAAATTACTACTTTCCATGGAAGAACACAGAATACTTACATAACACACATGAAAATGTATGTCTTTATCAGAACTTAAATTGTTCTCTATCTATAATACACACATAGGTTAAGACAATATGCAGTCTGCATTATGTGTTTAAATGTTACTGCATTTACAGAACAAAATGCTAATTGTTGTAAATGGTCTTCTACAACTGCAATAACTAACAATAATGCTAATTACTTCAATAACAACAAGTATTTTATGGCTAGCTGTTGCTATGTGTGGAGAGTTCCAGTGTCATGATTTTTAATAACCAATTTTTTGCTAAAAGCTGTGAAAGACTAATGAGGTTTTTAATTATGAAATGTAGTATGGCACAACAGATGGTTATTTAATCTGTTCAAAACAGTTTTAACACATTGACGAGTTACAATTACTGTACAGTGATGTATAGTTGACATCGTTATTTACTTTCCAAAACATGCATACAATCATAGGAATATAAAGAGAGTTACAGTAAGATTACATAATTTATTGCATGCTTAATAGAAGCAAAAAAAAACAACAAAAAACCAAGTATACATTGTAATTGGCATACAACACACAACATTTCAAATAGAACAAATTGTGGTGACATGCATAGATGAAAGAAAAAGTGATGATACCTTACCTGTTTGACTTGTTTTCCCATCTGAGGAGTTACATAGAAGCCTTTTCGCTTTCTACTTATTTTCTTCCACTTCTCGGTCTCCACTCGGTAAGACTGAAAAGTATAATTTAAAAATAATTAACAAGAATTTTTTGATCTGATCTTTATGTACAAAATATTCCAAACAAGCAAACAGTCAAGGACATTTACTGTAATTCCAAACTTATTGGAATGCGAAATGCTTAATGCTTCATGTCTTTTGTTTAATTCCAGTTGTCAGTCTAATAATCTCCTACATTTATCATATCTGAAAACTCATTATAACCACATGTAATGCAGTTGTAAATTTGTTTTCTAATAACACAAAGTCTCAACGACAGTAACAAATACATTTTAGACTAAAGCATGCACATAAAACACACAATTCATAATGTTAATGCAAATATTCATTACAGATATGATAAATGCAACTACAGCAGTGCGAATGACTTTTGTTGTGTAAAAACTGCACCAAAGCAGTCCAGAAATTTGAATTATTGTCTTCAAACCTCACCTTCCTCCTTTTGTTGACCACATCTCCATATTCTCTGAGAAGACCATCATGTTTCCTTTGATATATGAGCACAAAGTCATCTAATCTAGTGAGACGCTTTCCATCAAAACGAATCCTTTTCAGGTCCCATTGACTTTTTTCCATGATCCCTTGTGTACGGTTGTCTTCAGTGTAGTTCTGAAAATGGTAATTACATAATTTAGTCTTTTGACAAAATCTGCATAATGTGTCTTTTACTGTCTTAATTTATTCTACCTGCGTGTTCAACTGCGACACCTGATTGTACCGTTTACTGAGAAAGACATACGCTGATCCTTTGCCATGCCGTCCAAGGTCTCCTAAATAAAAACAGTACTTTCAATCAATAAAGCACAACAATTATAACATAAAAGTGATGATTGAACGAAACTAGACATACCAAGCAGCATTCCTGACCACAAGGTAGCATGTGGAAGAAAGTATTTAGAAAGACTTGAAATGAATGCTGGTGCATGGTACACATTCGGTGGTCCAGTCACATCAAGGTGGGCACTGGCAATTACTTCTGCAAAGTGCTGGTTAAGTGATGAGTGAACTGTTGTCGTCTGAAAAAAAAAAATTTAAGTGTCATATAATTAACAAAAATTTCGGATAATGAAGACCTTATTTTGTTTAAAAAAACACATACATGTGCTACAAAACAATGTTATTGGTGTCACACTATAACATGAACACAATTAATATCTCAACCATTGAAAACCAAACTTAATTTTAAAATTACCTTGTAGTCCTCTGGAATGATGTCTTTTTCTTCATCATCACCATTTCCCGTCGGATTGATCAGCAGTTTGAGGTTCTGCAGGTGTTTTTGCACTTCTGGTCCACTGCATGGACTTTTGAAAACTACTGTTGCACTTACAATAATGCCATCGAAATCTTTCAGGTTGGAAGAACAGGCCAGTAATCCAAAAACGTGCATGCCAAATTTGTAGTGTTTCTCAAGTCTGTAGTCAAAAAAGCATATTAACAATTACCATGAATACTAAACACAAACAAAATCAAATAATTAGCAGAAAAAACATTAACAAAATATAATTATAATAGACATAAATTAACAAGTCAACAATATCTACAAGGGCAAGACCACTAACACCAAAGAAATACTTAAAACAGAAAACTAACATTCGTACTCAAGGACTTTGAGCACAAATACCTCTTTTTGCAAAGATCCTTTGCGTTCTTCATGATGTGACTCAAACACCGGTGGAGAATGGGTATGTTGAAGTTATCCGTGTCCAACTGTCCTGTGATAACCTGGAAGTATCTCTCCAAGAGGTCTTCCAAACTTGCTCTGCAGAATGTTATCGCAATGGACTGGAGAAGCACCAGTGAGCCATCACATATGATCATTACTGGCCTTTTGTTTGCCCTGCTTCCATACATTCGTGTAAGCTCTGTTTGAAATGCTTGTACAAAATATGTTACAGAAGCCGTGGTATGGTCACATGTAACAAAAGTTGCTGTTGGAAGAGGTGAGGATCCCTTGAAGGGATTTCGAACTATAATTTCATACACATAGTACGGAGTAGCAGAAGCATTATCTTTTGAGATAATGCTTCCTGTTGCATCAAAATATACTATGTCATCTTTGCACCGTTGGTAAAACACTGTAAGTGTTTTTCGGGACCAGAGCATTATACCTTTTGGATGCAGGAGCACTCTCTGAAGGACTTCGTTTGGAAGTCCTTGCTGTCTGTCAAGTAAAATTTGCAGACTGGCCATCTCATTTAAATGAGGTCTGTCTTTTGTTCTGTGGGACCAGGCAATATTTTTCAAGACCTCTTTAGATGGAGCCTCATCCCGACACCCGGCTTGGAAAGCTTTTTCTGGTATTTTAATTAGAGAATCCAGATAAAGACTTCTTGGCATTTTGGTTTCCAGTTGTTCTGCTATTTCGTCTCTGGAGTGTCCACGCACAGGTCTTGTTTTTATTTCCTTTGTGTTGTGGCACACCTCACCTCCTTGGAAAAGCACATCAGCCTTCAGGGTTTTTTCATCTTTAACCTCCACTGTCACAGTCACTGGACAATCCTTAAAACGGCAGTATGCCTTAAGCCGGGCGTACACTGTGCGACTTTTTCACTTTTTTGAGCCGATTTTCCAGTCGTGCGAGAAGCCACGACATCGGGGCGAGTTTTGCGCCGAGCGTCGTGTAGTGTACAGGGGGTTACGAGAGGCGATTAACACCACGTGACCAGCCGCCGATCAGCAGTCGTGAGGTCGCAGGGACTTCTGGTGTGTTTAATATTTCGCTCGTCCCTCGTGAGGGTATCGCACTGTTGAAGCGGCGCTGCGAGCAGCTACGATCCAAAAAAGTATCAGAACCGCTCACGGCGCATGCGCGCGCAATCCTGCATCAACGCCGGTCGCCCGCTATTTCCCTAATAACACACGCTGTTCGTTTTTGTTTCTACACGTTTTTTTTACTCACAAAGATTGTCAAGAAAGCGTGTTTGTCGTGTTCGTGTGAAATTAAACTGATCACAAAACGCAGATTCACTTTCTTTATTTCGTTTTCCTCATCCAACCCCCATAAATCCCTGTGTGTCCTGCAGCACTCCCGAAGGACATCAGGCAAGACAAAAAAGTCTGACGTGTTGAGTAAAAACGGCTATTTTTAGCACATTTTTAGGGCCGACGTGTTGCTACCAGACGTACAGTGTGAGCAGTCAGGTCGCATGCGAGAACTGGGTCGTGCAGTGTGAGCACATGACTCGTGAGATCTGCTCTGCGAGGAAGTCGTACAGTTTGAGCTGAAGCTGAACGCTGCGAGTGAAAAAGTCGCACAGTGTACGCCCGGCTTAACATGAGAACACAGCCCTCTTAGACCGTGACTGACTGGTGTTGATGGTATGCCTCTTAAATCCAAAACTGCAAAATGGGTGTACTGACTTAATGCCAGTGGCTACAACATTAGTCCACTGCAGTCCTTTGAAAAGCCTCCCTTTCTGCGTTTTTCTTAGGTCTTGCCAGTCTTTCGGGTCAATGAAAAAAAAACAAGGCTGCTGTGGCAATGAGCATTTGTAGAATTCCTCTTCAGCATTACTGTCACTGTTGTTGGGTGAATCTGTACTCCAGTCCTAAAACACATTAATTATTAAAAATAAGAAATATGTGATGTAATTTCATTAAAAATAATGGTATGTGGACAATAATTTACCTGTTCGAGTGATGTAGACGATTGTGGTGTAGACACACCAGTTTGTGGCTGTTTCAATTCAGGAGAAATGTTTTGGAAAATGCCATTGTCATCACTGTCCTCTGAAACATCCTTTGAATGTAATTGTATTTGTCAAACAAAGAAATTATTTTTAAATAGAGACACTGTTTTAATCAAGTGCAATCACTTAAAAGTTATGTAATAAATAATTCCAACCTGTTTGAGCAAAAAGAGAGATTCATTTCCTTCCTTTTCAGGTGGATACATCTCGAGTGTTTCGCCGCCACTGTTTCCTTCATCCTGAGTGTGAAATAATTATTAGCTCATGAGTATAGTAATGTAAAAAAAAAATACACGTTTTAGTTTTAAAGGTTTACATTGGTTGACATAATACAAGTAATTCACTTACACAAACACTCACTAATATGATGAAAGGAATGATTCATATATATTGCTTTTCGACTCTCCCAGACTACTCAAAGCGCTCTGGACTACATGTCACATTCACAACACGTCATACATGCACTTAGAAAATCAAGTGCTAAATAATAAACATTTACACACATTCACAGTCCGATGAGCGCATCGGAAGGCAACTTGTGGTTAGTATCTTGACAAAGGATATTTGGCATGCAGACTGAGCCAGGAATCAACGCGTATATCTGCTAAACAACCTGACCCGCAGCCACACAGCAGAAAATAAATAGTAATTTACATTTGTTTGATACAATGTTGACGCACAAGGTAGGTAGACATGGCCTATCATTCCATCTCTATGCTGACGATTGCCTGATTTACTCTCCATTGTGTCCGGAGAAAGGTGACTCTATCCAGTCATTTTTGTCCAGTGTTAACGAGGTGAGGTGTTGGCTAATGGCCAACGTTCTGCATCTGAATGAGGGAAAGACAAAGCTCATTGTTTGTCACCCCAATAGCAGGAATGTGGATCGTAATGTTGATCTTGGGCCTCTTTCGCCATACTCCAAGCCAGTTGTGACCAGTTTGGGGGTGAAACTTGATGCTGGACTTAAATTTGATGCTCACATCAACTATGTGATCCGGTCCAGTTTCTTTCACCTGAGACGCCTTGCAAAAATCAAGCCCATGCTGTCAAGAGCCCACCTGGAGCGGGTACTCCATGCTTTTGTAATTTCTAGCCTTGATTACTGCAGCTCTCTATATGCAGGGTTGTGTCAGTCATCACTGCGTTGCCTACAGGTGGTGCAGAACAGCGCAGCCAGGTTGCTGACTGGGACTAGGAAACGGGATCACATCATATGCGTTTGCCCTTCAAGAAACAACGGTTCCTGTGTTTTGTGCCTCCATCCATTAAAGCACATGTCTCATGTTAGGTGTTACTATTAACCTGTACACTATGGAGTTACCACTACACTACAATTCATATAAAACCATAAATTCATGTGGAAATGATTGTTTAACTACGTAATCTAAACATTAATACAATTTTAAAAATTTAACTTTTGAATTCATAACAATACACGTTACATAAAATCAATCATGTCATTTTATTGTGAAATACGTACCAAAGAAGATTTACTCTCTCCGGAGGTCCCACTATCACCTTCAACATCAAGATTGTTTGTTTGGTGTATGACTTCCATGTTTCCCTGTTTAATACACATGTAGAAATTACATTGTCATCGACCTGTAATGATAAACAGTATCCTTCCACCAAGTTAAACTTAGGTGTGCCTGTGCAAGGCACAATCTATATTATTCATCCACTGTTCTTCAGGTCTAAACAAACGTCTGTTGCTCAAGGAATTTTTGCTCTGGAATTTCTTTCAGAGCTTATAAAATTTTTACACTATCCTTCGTAAATACTAAGTCCAGAGTAGTATTCAGACTATAAACATAGATATCATAGAGTGCTTACCTTTTGGTAGTGCAGAGCAACAAGATTAAGTTTTTTACGATTTGCATAATTATTTGGCACTCCCAAGTCTCTGCACACATTACTCCAGAATGCGTCTCCTCGGTGAACACTGTGTTTGTTTCTGTTGTGTGGTTCGGCGAAAGTCTCAGTGCATTGTATTATATGTTCATGTTTCAGACGAATTTTCCGTGCCTGTAAATGTAAGTAAAATAATTACATGAAATAGAGAGATCTAGAACTACAAAGTTTTTTAGACTTTATAATTTAATTACAATCACATTTTATTGAATATCTTTTTCAAAATATTGTTTAAGGAGAAAACTTGCCTTTCCAAAGGCAGTAAATGTTGAGGTCCTGTAACACAAATAAGAAATTAAAAAACAAATGCTTCAATGTATTTGACAAACAATAAAATTTGAAGTTTTTCTTCATAAACGTGTTATGTTTATATATTTCTTGTATAACTCGAAATGATATATTTAAAACCACTGGGGTGACTGAAATGGTCTTGGATGGTAACAGACTAATCATATTTTTGTTAACACACCATTCTAGTCAGAGATATGGACAAAGCAAAAGGCTGATTATTTGTGTTTCGGGTGCAAGGAAATAAACCTACATAGCAAAAGTTATTAAATCATCTCTTAAAATCAACTGTCTTTCTAACAAATTATTTTCTAAAGTGTTGGTTTTTCTTGGCTACCTAGAACATTACGTGGTTATAACAAATCTATTACGTTATGTGTCCCTAATTAAATACATAGTACTCCAAAACACATTGAAACACCATTTTACTGTAAAAAAAAGTAATGGGAAGCAAATAACAAATGAAGCAAAAACCCATACGGAAAACGTCGCAAAAAATGTAAGTCAATAAGGCAAAGGACATGATTTGCAGCTAAAGCTAATTTCATGCTTACCTTCTCTGTCGTTTTGCGTCGCTCATGTTGTCAACAACAGGAACTCGTAACTGTTCAAAGTTAACAAACTAACTTTGTTTCACAGTGTCCAGCAAAAATGTAACTCCCTAGTTCCTACAATTGTCTAATCATGTGCACGCATCACACCACCACAGCAACTACTTGTCTCGTTGGGATCGCTGTGGCCATAGTCTACTACAGTCAACCTTCACCCTTAAGTCCCAAGAATTACAAGATCCGCCCCAAAGTCCTGAAGCAGGTTGAAAAGACCCTTAACCCACACGGATGACTCTGATAGCTCCACTTAGCATCCCTTCATTTGTAAATGTGGCCATTGGCGGAGAACACAGCAGGGGGGACACAGGTACAGTGGGTGTCCCAGAGTCATAATGTGGTGAAAGTTGTACATCAGCTATGAAGGAATTTTCTTAATAAATTTTGGAATATGCAACCAGACTGTCACGAGTGTGGACTGAATACAAGTTTGCTTTAATATCTGAAGATTTCTATAGTAAATCTGTCTGAAATGAGGCACACAGGTACAGTGGGTGTTCCAGAGGAAGGATGTGGTGAAAGTTGTACATCAGCTATGAAGGTTGATTATTTATGAATTTTTGAAAAATCACATAATGGTATTGACTGTGTAGGACTGAATACAAGTTTGTTTTAATATCTGAACATTTCTACAGTAAATCTCTGTGAAATGTGGCACACAGGTACAGTGGGTGTTCCAGAGGAAGGATGTGGTGAAAGTTGTACATCAGCTATGAAGGAATTTTCGTAATAAATTTTTGAATATGCAACCACACTGTCACGAGTGTGGACTGAATACAAGTTAGCTTTAATATCTGAGGATTTCTACAATAAATCTGTGTGAAATGTGGCACACAGGTACAGTGGGTGTTCCAGAGGACGGATGTGGTGAAAGTTGTACATCAGCTATGAAGGATGATTTTTTATGAATTTTTGAAAAATGACATAATTCTATTGACTGTATTGAACTGAATATAAGTTTGCTTTAATATCTGAAGATTTCTACAGTAAATATGTCTGAAATGTGGCACACAGG